AAAATGCATTGAAATCGCACATTTTCACCATTCCGAACCCGGATCTCAGTTATGCATGGACGGATTTTGTTCAAATTTGGTACATACATTAAACATAATAGGACCTTGATGCACGTCATTTTTTTTTTCAGATCAAGTTCGAAATGGCCGACTGGCAGCCATTTTGTTTTATAGAATTCAGTTCTGGATCCGTATCCAAGACATGTCTGGATTGATCAAGTTCAAACTTCACACACACATGGTACATCATGTCACAAATAGATATGTGCATTTGTTTCATGATCTGCTTAACAATAGCTGAATGATGGCCATTTTAAGGCCGAAAATGCATCAAAATCACGTATTTTCACAATTCCGGAACCGGATCTCAGTCATGCATGGATGGATTTTGTTCAGATTTAGTACAATGTGTTGTACATATGCAGGTGCATTTCGGTCATGATCTGCTTTGAATGTATATGTCACTCAAATATGAACGGAAAGGGGACGTGTCATTGACAATGACTTGTTATTATTATAACTTTATTACACTACTAAAAACCTTCAGAGGGTTTTTGTATGGTAAGGAACATAAATACAATGAAAATAAAAACATACAATACATAAGAGATAAAAATAAAATGTTAGTAAAATAAAAGAAAAAATAAATTAATTACTTTCTGTGGTTTTAAAAATTGTGCTCTTTAAGTATTTAGTGTAATAGTGTAATTGGCTATCAGGTAATCCTTATATCTAAGATTTCATATGATGTGTACATTGTCATAGTACCATGTGCATCTCATACTGTGTTATTCACACTATTACCTCTTATGAAATACAAAGGAAAGTTAGAATGTAAACAAATATTTTGCAGGGTGCAGGGATCTATTGTAAATTGTGAGATGTAGCATCTTTTTATTTGAGCCCCCCACTTCATCTGAAGTCCTGAAATGAGATAAATTGATCTGGTGATAAGACTAAACTGACTAAACTGACAAACCGATGTGCCAAATTTTGTCATGTCGCACCCCTGTTACGAAATTCCCTGCTGACCAATAACATTGTGATAAATAGTCCCATATCATATTGTGTCGGTAACACAGAATACAAGAGATTCTGCATTATACCTAAATATAAAACAACTGTTTAGAACACCTTGACAACGTGTTTGATAGACTGTCTAGTCAAATGGCTTCAGCATTTGGTGTATCTTTGTAAATATCCAGTGTTTTGTCATAATACCAAAATTAATAATAATTACAATATTAAATGCATTTAAATGCCTCAAATGAGTGATACCTCATCATTTAATACATAGATTATTGCATAATAATAATAACACAATAATAATAATAATATTAATACTGTTACTAGCAGCGTAGTAATATGAGGTTATTACGTGGATACCACGTACAGCGACGGCATACTGGCTGAGTGCTTACTTTGAGGTATCCCCGTAATAACCTTATGATACATCTTTTCCTTCCAAGGATACATCATAGGAATGCAGAAATCCAAAAACTTCTTTGTGTGGAGTCCAGTCAAACCTTAGTGGCAGCCATGTTTGTGTTTAGAATTAGAGGACGCTTATGCACATAATCATTTCATATTTGGAATTCACATTCCCTTATATATGGTAGGATGAAAATACCCCGCGAAATACCACAAATTTACGACACTCTGTAACTTATGGCGTTACGATGACAGATGTATAATAATAATTATTACATAAAATTATGTACTTCAGATTTTATCACATTAATTTGCAGTTGAATAACATTGATATGCAAATGAGTTTTCTTGGCAGTTGTTGCATAACTTGAACTGACAAGGTAGCTGTTGGCACCCTATAATTATTGTTAAATGCAATAAGACTTCCAAAGTTACATTCTTACATAATCAAGAGCCATGAATTAACAATGCAAATTAGTCGCATGTACATTTAATAATACTCGGTATTTCACTGCAAATCCTCAACAAAATGTAACACAATGTAAAATTGAATTTGATGATATGAAATTCAATTTATCATTTCTATTAAATGAACACATTAAAAACAAATCATACAGCTTTGAAAAAAAAAAAACAGGTTGAAAGCAAAATGGAAATTTTTCAAAATCGCTGTGGCAATGACACTCTCATTCATTGTTTTGTGTCATCTGTTCTTTGATATTAATGTCAAAAATACATATGAAGATGCTTTGTCACAATAAATTTCCTTATATTGCATTATTTTTATTTTGAGAAAATTTAAGAAATGTTTTGTTCTCATCATTCTTGAAGATTTTCGGAAAGTCGTAAATGTAATAATAACAGAATGCGCTGAAGTTTGTGGAGTATGGAAGTTATTTTCACTCAGTGTATCGCTATATTTTCACGAGCAAAACAAATAAAAATACCGTTGCAAGATGCACTGATAATAATTACTGTATCCCATAAATGTCAGGGAAAAGCCATGCCGATTTTGTCATATGACAGGAAGTTTGAACTGCTGACCTGTTAGCTCAGCAAGTCATCAATACTACCGGTAGAAACCTACATGTGCTATCTAAAATGACAGCATGTTTTATTCATACCTGTTTACTCTAGTAACCTGCCTGGTAATGACTGTACACTCATCCATGTGGTATGAAATACAACCAATATCAGTATACCTCACCTATGTAGTTTGACTGGGAGTGGTGTCAGCTGTTATGTGGTAGCATATGTTGTCTTCTATATTTTTTTGCTATTTTCAGTTTATTAAGCCACACACAATAAAAAAAAAGTTTATGGCTACCATGCAACAAGTTAAACTCCGTTTCTATGAGAATAGAATAGAATTAGGAGTTTAAAAATTGTAAAAATAAAAAATGCAAACAAAAAATTGTATAATTAAATATTATAATAATACATTAATTCTTACTAAATTAATCTATGTTGATAAAAAAAAAGCAACTGCAAAACCAAGACAGCACAATTTACATTTGTGGTGTGCAGATTTTTGGCAAGTTATTATATAACATGTTGCTACTCACAATTTACATACAAGATAAATAATAAAATTGATTGGGTTGAAAAAAGCTTTAGTATTTAGGTATATAAACAACAAGTTTTAGTTGTGTGGCCATATTATTTTCTCCTGGTCAGTGTAGTTTTGTGAGTTGGTAGTAGAGTGTGTGCAGACCATGGAGGATTCTGATATCATAGAATACTATTGGCTTCCTGGGGGACTATGTAAAGCAACTAGTGACAATCAACTAGGTAATTCTCATTACTACCATTTATGTACCTGCCAAATCTTGTTACAAATGCATGTTATGTAAAACTATTTGTTTTCACTGGCATTCAATTTCACTATTTTGCGCATGGGTTTTAAGTTTGCGAATTTGTCAGTGGTGCATTAAGTTCTATTGTTATTTTTACATGTTTACATGTTCACATGGATTTAATTTAATAAAATTAAAACCAAGTGAATAATTAATGCATTTTTAGTATGTAAAGGTTTGAACTGACAGGTTGTGCTATATTGGTGCATCATTTAATTGTATAGCTGACACTATTACTTTAGATATATATATTAGTGTTGTCATTTTTTATATTTACTTCCAAGCTACGATCAAAAACATGCAATTAATTGATATTAATGTTGTTTAATTAAAATTTATTTTATCAGAACTCTTTTCTCGTAGTAACCAAAAATACAGTGTCGCTTAAATTTTTGTCAGTTTTTATTGCCTGAAATCGAACACAGTTATAAATGAGTAAAAATATAATATTTTACCTTGTTTTGAATGTAAAAAATATCTTGGGTGTGATATAATTATTGTTAGCATCATGTGATCTACCAGCAATATGTC